AAGTATATTTAATAGGGAGATATACTTATTCTAATTTATCCATGTCAGTTTAAATGTTGAAGTACAAATGCAATCAACTGACTCCAACTACCCTAAATAGAATTGCTACATTTTGTGTAGCACCTACCCATACATAAGCAACACTTATGTCTGTTTATTTTGCCTTTCTAGATCACCAAGCTAGAAGAGATAAGTAAAAAGTTGCATTTAAACTGCCTTAGAGCAAGAGCACACATTTTTTTTTAAACATCGAGGATAAGTGTCTTTGGACAGGTTATGTCTGTTCAGATCATGTTCGCTACTCCCAGTTGTCTTGCACCTGACTGCCTTTGCTTATATCTGTTATTTGCCTGGCCCTTGCAAGCATTTGAGCATATATCTTATAAACTGGAAAAAAAATGGATTACATATTTCTCAAACTATCCTTTAGGCATATTATCACAGTAAAAGGAGAGCAACATATGCTTCAATGTTAGATTTTCTGGCAGTGTTTTTATTTGAATGTCCTCTATGGCTGCTTACAGCCTAAAACTTGAGTTAAAACAGAATGACAGATTTCACATTCTTTTGTGAAATTTAAGAATCTAATACAGATTCTCATCCAAATATGTAGTCGTTTTCTACCGCAAAATGGAGGAGGCCCAAGGGGTTATCTGTGGGCAAAGCCAAGAAATATTTTAGAAGACAATTTACAGTACACTCTGATGAATGTTAAGCTGTAGTCTCCTTATGTGCAAACTGGTTCATCAACACCCAGCTTGCAAAGAAGATACAATAAGGGATGTAAAGTACATAGTGTCAGACCAGAGTAAGTCTTCAATGAATAGTAAGTCTTCAAACTATTTTATTACTGTGATTAATACTTTTTATTAATAAATGAATGCATGAGGAATTGAGATATTAGAGTTATTAGACAAAGTTTTCTCCAAACTTGACAGTCAAATTTTAAGTGAAATCCCAGTGTATAAAGTAGATATAAAACAATATTTTATTAGTATAGATGCATTTTGTAAGTTCATGTTTTAAAAATATACTTATACTTTCAATCAATGAAAATAAGGAGTTTCCTTTGCTGAACACAAATATGTAAAGTCTGGGCTTATAGATAAGAGTTGCACAATTATATCAGCTCCATTGTGCAATTTAGATTTTATTTGTTTTATTCTTTTATTTGGTGTCTTTATTTGATTTCGGTTTATTTGGTATTTTTATTTTGTGTCTTTATTCCATTTATATGGTTTCTTCCTCTAGATTGCGAATTTCTCGGGGATGGGGAGCATCGCCAATTCATCTTTTGGATCTGATGCCCAGTAGAATGCATGGTGCATGGTAGGCATCAAAATGTTTTTTAGATAAGTGAATAATCTGCTTAGTGGGGCTTATTGTACCTGAGAAAAATCACTGTGTTTTTAAGGTGAATTGGTAGGTAAAGTGTTAGAGCTTGAAAAGGACGGGAAATAATATAATAAAATAACTGATCTAAAAATAGTGGTTTCTTGATGACGATCTGGAATAACTTTAATCTATTAGTAAAGCTCCTGCTGTACCAGGGAAGAATCTGCTCTTTGAAAAGTCAGTGTGTGTGTGTGTGTGTGTGTGCACGCGCGCACGCGTAGGCGTGCATATGCATGCTCCTTCATGTGTGTGGGTTTACCAGAGTTGGTGAGGGACAGAGAGAAGGCAATGGGAAGGGAATGAACATTTGTGAGGGCCTGCCATGTGTCAGGCCCTTGCTGAGCACATTGCCTTGAATGTGCTCTACCCTTCTTGAGGATTTTTGCTGCATCAGAGCTTGTTGAAACATGCCCACTGAAATGTTTATCACACTTTGGCAGGTGGAGTATGGAAACCAATTACAAACTATTTGTAAGACTGCGGAGTCAACTTCTGTTTTCTTGAGGCTGAGTAATTTGCAGAGTTCTTTATCACCCCTGTCTTATCGATAAGAACCAGCAATAAAAGGTTGAGGTAAATCAGGAAAAATATGTATCCTTATGGGAACTCACTTAACCTGCTCTACTCTGATAAAAATAACAATAGGTAGCATTTATTGAACACTGTGGCTTTACTCACATTAACTTGTACTCCCCACAGTTGTGTAAGGTAGGCACTGCTGTTGCCGCCATTTTACAGGGGAGGAAAATGAGGTACAGAGAGGAAATGCAACATGCTCCAGTTGTAGATTTAGGAAGCAGTGGAACCAGGATTCTGAACAAAGTCCTTAAGCACCCGCCACTCTGCATTGCAAGAGGATCTGCTCTTGCAATATATCTCTTCAAATATCAGCAGCAAAGGTAAGAGGAGACCTCATATTCTTGCCAGTTCCGTGTTGGGGGTTCTTCTTTTGAGCTTCAATTGATGGGAGAGGAAGATCATTGTCTCCTTGAGGGTGGCTTGCAGCCATGGTGCCAGGGGCAAGGTGTGCCCTCCCTGTTGTGATCATGAAGAGTGAAGGTGATTGTTCCAATCCAGGAGGAGGCTGGCTTACAGCAATGTAGGTATCTGTAGGATTCCTCTCTTTACCATTTCTTTCTTTCTTTTTTTCAAGGTGGAAAATATGGTTATTTAGCTCTGGTTGGATCAATCTGTTAAATATATATATATACATATATATATATACATTCACACACATATATACATAATATCTGGAGATTCTATGGTGATTATGAGCACAAAATTACCCAGCAATTGGAAACCTTTAATCATGCACTTTGAACATTCTAGCCAAAAATTTTTTTTGTGGCCTAGAAAACATCATAGGTGGAAGGAAATGTCTGCTGTGTTTTTCCTGAGAGCTTCGGAATCCAATATGCTTCATTTACACAGTCATTTTACATGTATTGGGCACACTTAAAAATTTGGCTTGTCACTGAATTTTCTACTCAGAACATTCCACGTAAGTAGAAATAAAAGTTAACCTCTGTAAAAGCCACTGGTTAAATCCATCTATAGAAGTTGGCAGCCAAATGTAGAAAAACCACTGTACAGGCTAGATTGTTTTTTCCTCCTGCTGTCTCTGAAGATATATCTTGAGCACAAAATATATTTTATTTTTAGGAAGGATTTGTTTACACCGTATGGTGCCAATGTGCTAAGGTTTATTTGTGTCATGGCTACTTACAATACAGATACTGTGGGACTTTATCTATACTGTAAGAACAATACATTTGAAGAAAATGAGCGCACCCTGGGTGACAACTCTCCATTAAGATAAGCATGCATTAAATCTCCTTCTATGAAGAATCCTCTCTCTCCTAATGGAAGACAGTGTTGGAGACTAGCATTGTGTGACCATGGCAGACTTGTTTGCTGGTCTCTGTAGGGAGGTTCATTTGCAGATCACCCAATATAGAGGCTTAATCTTGGGAAGAGGAAAAAATGCTTTTTGAAAAACACTGGAGGAATTGGTGTTTTCAGCCTGATCATAATTCATTGAAATCACAAAGGGATCTGTATGAACCATGTTCTTTAAATTAATGGATAGTGAGAAGTCTTTCTTCACCCTTGCGAATCCTTGTAGAAGACATTTGCAGAGAAATTACTAGAGCTGCTCCCCTGTGGGGAGATTAATGATTTAATATGCAAAAGCAGACAACTCACAGTTCCTTTGCTCAATGGCACTCTGAGCTGCACAGTCTTACAGCTTTATTTTCACCTTATAGCTTCTCTCCCTAAAAACTTTTGTAGAGTCAGATAGAGCCACTAATGCAAAACCATATCCTTGGTCTAGACTTGAAGACTCTGCCGCATGGAACCTCCAAGCAATTTGTGACCTAGATCTGGTGGAATAAATATCTATGTGAAGGTATTGAGATTTTCCTGCTTATCCATGTGAATTTACTGCTTGATTTACCAGCATCCAATTTAGGCACTGGAAAATGGTGTTAAGGGAAGATATATCCTTAGGCCTCTTACCTCTTAGTTTCCAGTAAAAATAGAAATCAAAAAATAAAAAAAAAGTATTTCCTTTAATGACTCACCACCCAGTCTACCACCCTCATGTGTCTTTTTACTGTCCTCTCCTTCTTCTTGCCTAGCTGAACTGTGCCCTGCACCTCCACACGCAATCCTAATTCCTCCTGAAGTCTCAGGATGTCTATATGACTATCAGCCCTTGTCTTCTATATCTTCACTTCTCTGCTCCTCCCTCCAATGAGCAGTGAACATACTCAAGATTTTCACATGTGAAAAAGAATAAAACATCCTCCCTACTGCATATTCCACTCCAGCTACCTTTATTTCTCTTACATGGGAGAGCCAAGTGTCTTGGAGAAGATGTTCAACGTTTCTTATACTTTTCCATTTCATTGTAGTCTACCCGCCACAGCTCCAGTGAAACTGCTTTTGCCAAGGTTGCTAAGGCTTTGTGTTACATTTCACAGGTCTTTCTCTGTCTTTATCTTATTTAACCACTTGGCAATATCAGATTGTGTTAACTATTCCTTTAAAACAATTCTTCCTTTGTTTTTCTTGACACTGAATTCTCCTTCTGTTTAATTTTTGAAAATACAATTTCTTGGATAAAAATGTATATATATTATAAGAAAAAATAATCAAACATGCTTGTGTCCCTCTCTCTTAACTATATCCCTCTCTTATTGGAATTGCAATAAATCCTTAGCTCAAATTGGGTGGGGTTGCTCTCTTATAATGTTGATTATAATCTTCCTATCCAAGAGTACAACGCGTCTCTCTCTTCTTTAGTGTCTTTCAGTACATTTTAAACATTCGCTCTCTAAAGATCCTCTACATTCTGTGTTAGTTTTATTCTTAGGCACCTCATTTTTATTGCAGTTATTTAAAATTACATTTTCTAGCTATTTGCTAATGGTGTATAGAAATATTATTGATTTTAGTGTATTGATCTTATAATCAGCCACTTTACTAAACTCTCTCATTCTAACATTTTTTTCTGTAGCTTTGCTGTTTTCTAAGTATATTTATTGTAATCAGAGTTTATTGCTAGTAAATGCTCTTGGTTTCTGTTTATCTTAAACTGCCTTTATTTTGGGTTTGCTATTGAATAATAGTGTTATACAATTTTGAGTTGACAGTTTTTCTCTCAGCACTTTGAAGGTATTGTTCCATAGTTTCCTGGCTTCTATTGTTGCTATTGAGAATTTTACTGTCAGTCTAATTGCCCTTTCTGGTTAGGATAAAGGGGAACCACAAGCAAGAGTGCAGAAACTCAAGAATAACATCAACAGAACTGCCAGAGAAGGAGAGGTTACTGGAAACTGGGAGAAGGGAAGTTTGTGTAGAGCAGGAGCAGTGTGACCTGTCAAGAGGCACAGCCAGACCTGGGGACCTCACAGAGAAGGAGCCAAGGTTATAAACATTCAGACTCACCCTCCTTCTCCTTCCGATATCCTGCCTGTGCTCTGCATTGGCCAAACCCAGCCAGAAGCCAGGTGTCATAATATGATTGATGTGATGATAGACACAGGTCAGATAAATACAGAGGGAACAGAGCATGGTGGAAAAGGGTGGAGAGGTTGGACCTGGAGGGTTCAACATAAAATATTTAACCCCATTCTATTTAGTTTTGTTTTTTCTTCAAATTTGGTTTGATCATTTTTGATTGTTCTTGTTCCTTTCTCGAGTTTAAATCCCATCTTTTATTTCTTTAGGCATCTTATGCATAGTTATTTATGTTGTACCTGTTAGGTCTGATATCTTAAGTCTCAAGGTTCTGTAGTTTTTTGTGTTTCTGCCGACTCTTGCCATGCTGGCTTATTTTCTTGAGTTTATGTTCATTTTTTAATGTGAGCATGTTTTTGGCTAAAATTAATCTGTGGGATTAATTAATTAGTTAATTAAAGGACCTGAGTTGAGGATCCTTTTATCCAAAGAGGATTTGAGTTTATTTCTGCAAGATACCATGGACATCCACGACCTTCTCTGTAAGAGCAGTGTCATTTAAACCTCAGATTCTTGTGAAAGAATAAACTTTATATACAGGTTTTCAGAAAAGGCTATGCTTTTTTTTTTCCCCCTGCGCAGAGCCATGATGGACTCAGACAGATTTCCTCTTCGGTTGCCTCTGTTGATATGTGGAAGTTTTCTAGCCTATGTTTTCCAAACAGCACTTCACTTTTGAGTGTTGCAATTCTAGGTGGGGCTCAGGGTTATCCTTCCCAGGACACAGCTCCCAGACCTTAACACCTATTCTCCTCTGCAATCCAAGGTCTAGTTTCCTGGTATTGAGATTTGTCCTATTCTTTCTTGATTTAGCTTTCACTTTAATTTGCCATTGAAGATTTTCCCTTAATTTCTTGTGGCTCAGCATTTTATGATACTGCAATTTATCTGAAATCTAGGACTTTGGTGTGAAAGGAGATCGCCAGTTCTCCTGTTTTTTCATTTCTTGTCTTGTCATCCTTTTCCATGTCACTTCCCTGCCTATCCTTTAAATCTGAGGCACTTCAGAGTTCTGTCCAATTTCCTCTTCCTGTATCATTTTACATTTCAAAATAAATTTTTACTTTAATTCACCACCAACTGTAATCTGTGTGGGCAGCGATTGTGTTAATATTTTTCGCCAATACCTCCCTAGTGTTTAGCATAATCTCTAGCACATAGTAAGTGTCCAGTTCATATTTGTTGGATGAATGAGTGAATGGAAGAACTGTTAATGCGTCTAATAGAGAATGATTACTTTATTGTACTACAGGTGGGAGGGGTTGGCACAGTGATGCTACTATAATGGATAAATACTTTCATTTTACTTCAGTTTCTTGAAGTTTTCACTTCTCATCAGGAAATATATCTTTTCCTTTGGGTTTGTCTCTACCTTCATGTTGCAGGCAACGTTAAGTATTTTTTACTTCCCCTTTAAAAATCATATATGTCTGTAGTACGCGTGGACATGTAGAATTCTAAACAGCTTCAGTCAGTAATGGGATGTTTCTTTCTGCTGAGGGGATGGTTTACATCCCTTCTGGTGAATAGTAACAAATTATTATTGGCCTTTTATCCAATTAATATGAGGACCTTCTAGTTTGCATGTGGCTTTATTAAATTTGACGGTTAGGCTTGAAGACTTAGCTGAAATTAGCTTCTGGTAATATTCAGAGCATGTAACACCTGAACATACAGGAAAGCACTTTAAGCGTATGGGGGTAGAGGGCTCAGATGAAATCTGTCTTTATCAATATTGCACAGCTTTTATGCTAACAGCAGGGACTGGCTCCTGTCTGAAGATTCTTTCACAAAGAACGCTGTGAAGAACAAGCTACTGCTGTGTAGAGGCAAACCAAAGGCTGGCTCTCAAAATAAAGAACTCTGGCTTTTCCAAACAAGAGGTGACTGACCTTGAAAGCCAGTGACTGTTAGAAGCAGTAAGACAAGACCTGATTTGTGTTCTACAGTGAGCCTTGAAAACAGTGGAGGGGGAGATGACTTTGGGAGTAACAGCACAGAAAGGCACCAGTAGGCCTTTGGACAAAGAGATGCTGCTGCAAATCTCAGTAGCTGCAAAGCTAAAGCTGTTGCAATGACAGTGACAAGCTTCTAACTTCTTTTAAAGATGAGAATGGTCATTGTACTTTATCTTGGCTATTTTAGAGAGCTTACTGGGTTATTTAGTTTTCCTGTATGTCAGGAGCTGGAGAGTTGAGTTTGTGAAGACCACGGTGGAAAGAGCTCTTGTCAAAGTGAATAGAAACACAGGCTTAGCTGCCTGTGAGTTTTCACAGGGAGACACACTTGAAAAGAACAGCGTTATAGAGGAGGACACTGCAACCAAAATATGAAAGGACAGATTTCGTGCAATTTTAAGAGATGAGAGTGGGAAAGATTTTCCCTTTGTTTTGCTTGTTTGTGTTGGAGTTTAAGAAAACAATTTAGTGTTAGGAGGATGAAAATGGGGACAGGGCTCAGTGTCTACTAGGACTTGGAGATTTGGGGATAGCAGGCAACGTCTCTAGGAGCAAACCTAAAGGACAGGCACCTGTCAGGTAAAATGCTGGAACTAATGCTGTTAATTCTTTTGTGGCATTGTCCTGAAATATAAGAATATTCAAAATGAAGAACTTGTTTTATGAAATTTAAGGGTATATTAGCCTCATTACCTCATGAAGCCAAATAAATTTATGAATTTAACCTGTTATGTTTAAGGAAAAGGATTTACCCTCCTCAAATTTTGGCTGTGAGGCCTGGAAAAAGAAAAATGTGGTAATTGTTTCTCATACACATGTGTATTTCACAGATGAATCTGTTAACTTGCATTCAAGCTACTTGAATTGAAATTACAGTTGAGCCTGTTAATGAAAAATGGGCCACATAATCAAATTAAAAAGAAGTATCTAAAACAAGGAACATAAAAATAAGAATGTGTGAAAAGAAGCTTTTATTTTCCACATCTGTAAAAATAAGAGATAGATAAAGTGTCACTGAGGTCTCTTCTGGCTTGAGCATTGTGTGGCTTTGGGAATCTACAGTTTGCATTTTCTTTCCCTTTTCTTCTTTGCCGTGCCCTACACTACAGCCAAGCAAGACTACTTGGTTTTTCCCAAGCACACTCCCTGCTTGTTCATATTTTCCCCTTTCAGAGGGCTCTTCCTTCCCAAGTCTGTCTCCCCAAATTCTACCCACCTTTAAGGTCCAACCCAGGTCATATGCCACTCTTCCACAAAGCTGGCCCCCACTTCCCTAGCTGAAAATGATCTAGGTGCTATGCACCAAGGCACTTGTGGTTTCGTTATAATATTTTTCACATGCTTCTTTGTATTATGCTTGTTTGTTTACATGCCCATCTACTAGATTATAAACTTCTTGGGGTCAGGGGTTCCATTGATTCTCAGTTATATACAGTGTTGTGCTTTACACATAATAGGCACTTTGTATTTACACATTGAATTGAAAGTTGAGTAAAGAAAACAATTTGCTGGTAGATTAAAGCCAACCAGATAAAGTTATAGTAAAATCTTAAACTTATGTAATACGTTTAGTGAAAATAAATTCTATGATCTAGAGTCAAAAACAAGTAATGGGAACTTTTTTCCCCATCTCTATTTCCAGATGAGAAGTTAGATTATCAGTACTCATATTAAAGTGATTCTAGTAACCACATTCCCTCTTGAAAAAGTACTAAGGCTTCTAGAATTCAAAAGAAATAATATAACCTATCATATTCACAAAATGAAAATAACTGTGACCTTTAAAATGTCAAAAGAAGCATGGTTCCTAGAAGAGTCTGACCTGTAGTTTAGCTCACCAAAGAGACTAGCACACAAATCCAAGGTTACAGTGCTATTACACCAAATTGCCATTAGATTTTTCCCCCTTCCATATGTTTCCTAGCTTCACAGTCTCTGGTGCTAAAATGGAAATGACTTAAAAAAAAAAGTCCTCAACACTTTCTCAAGAAATGTGCCTCCAAACCCAAAGACAAAGATTTCCATTTTGAACTATTTCTAATTTATATCATTCAAATGAAGGTATAATCTTTTTAGTTCTAAACTTTTTTCTTTAAACAAAGAAAGGATCCTCTTGATTTAAAATTTTCATTGTTATAAATTGCAATAATGTTAAGGTGATCAAACTATCTTTTTGAGAGGGAGGCGTTGAAACTCTGTATTGGAATAAAGGACTGGGGAAATGAATCAGTGCTGAGATGGTTGTGACAGCTCATAACCAAAGAAATTCACTCTTCTGATATTGTAGAGAGAAAGATTTGGATTGTATCTTTGGAGGGGGTGACTCATTCCAGAAAAGCCATAGCTCTTGGGGTTGGAGTTAGGGTTATGGTTAATTCTAAATTTCAAAGTAATCGCTTATTTAATTGAGTGGGTTCAAGAGAACACTACTTCTTAGTGTTCTAGGGAATTTTAAAGCCAAGAGCGTTTAGAGGAAGGAAGCGGTAGTTTAGGAAAAGAGCCTAGAGGACTGACTGCTCCTGCACAGTGGCAGCCTTTGCCTTCTCATTGGAAACTTCCAGAGTAAGGGAATGGCTTTTATCCTAAAGCAATGTCAGTCCAAATGGAACAAACAAAAGTCTTTTGTGTCCCAAGGCAGAAGTCTTTTGTAAATTGGTGTTGAAAGTAGAGGTCATTTGGAAGAGAATATATTTAGTGATTTAGATGATCTGTAAACAAAAATAAACCACTTTAATGAAAAATATGTCTTCACTTAAAACTATTGAGATGGATAGAAATTCAGTCTATGCTTTTGAAAAGCCTATACATTCAAATTGTGTCATTACCTCTACTCAAGTGGATTGTTTCAGGAGTGGATAGGTTCTACCATATTCTTGAGGTATTTTATGTCTTAATTGGTTTTTATTCACTAGAAGAAACCCTACACTTTCAGAAGAGGTATAAATACCGTGAGAGAGGAATAAAGGAGCAATACCATCACTATATTGTGTTATCACAGAAAGTTTCGTCTCTTTTATGAATTGGGAAAAATATCTTGAGAAGCTGTGAGGTAGCAGTAGCTTTTGAATGACAGAATGTGAAAACTTTGCAGTGAAAATATGGTAGTCATTGGTTCCACTTACCAAATACTTCTGGCTCTCCACCTTCTGAGCTATCATAGGATTGCAAGTGACTAGTTCTGACCAGTGACTTGTGAGTAAAAATGGCATCTGTGTCACTTCTTTACCTGAGCGTTTAGCTGCCGGTGAGCACCCTTCAGATCTCTCTTTTTCCCTTTGCTTGGGTCACTGACATCTTTTGAGGTGGTGGCTGCTCCATCAACACAGATCCAGTATTAGGGGATGTGGAGCAGGTCCCCGAGCCAAGCCGTGATGAACATGTGAGTGAATGAGAAAGAAACCTTTGTATGAAGACAGGAAGATTTAGGAGTTGTTTGTTAATATGGTGTAACCTTGCATATTTTGAGTGATAGAGAAAGAATTCCAAATCGTAGGACCGGGTTACAATGTAAAAAAAAAGGATGGGATGTCCAACTTCACTGGTATTGTTGAGAAGACCCAAGTCGGAATTATCATGTCCTGGAAGGCAGTATAACCTATTGGTTAAGGGCTTCCAGGTCCTTGAAGGCAGAATCTAAGCCATTATTTCCCCATAGATAAAATGGGATTGCTTATCTTAGTACTTATCTACTGAAGTTGTGACGATTCAGTAAGGTAATACTCTTAAGGCGCTTCACACAGTGCCACGTAATTAACATGCAGCGAGCGTTAGTTTTTATTGTTTTTATTATTATAGCTGTAAGGAATCTTGAATTTGTCTGGTCAAACTTCCCAGGCAGTTGAGGAATCACTTTTACGATATCTCTGATAGGCAGTCTTCCTGCTTTACTGGACGTCCCCAGTGACAGGAGCTCACTGCCTTCTGAGTCAGGCTGACATTTTTCCGTATATGGAAACAAAGGCTGTCTTCCCATAGTTCCCACTTATTGGTTCTCGTCCTGGCCTTTATGGACGCTCAGAGCAAAATCTAATCTTCCTTCCACAGAATAGTGCCCTTTCCTTTAGCCAGTCTTTAGGTGATAAGACTTCCAGATGCTTTCACTTCTTCAGATGCACTGTGATATGTCAGTGACCCATTTACGCTGTGTATACAGACCTGAACACAGGACTGCTGGGCCTGTGACATCCATGACGCGTAACAGTCAAGCTTGCATTTAGTGGGTGCTCACTACCTGCCAGACTGTGTCCTCTCTACAATTCTATGAGGTAATTTTTGTTATTCTCTCCATTTTATATTTAAGAAACTGAGAAAAGTAAAAATACATAATTCTACCTGTTTATTAATAAGATTGTTGAATACATAAGAAGATATTTGTATATATAGTTATAACTGGAAATTCACAGAATAAACTGTAAAATAAAAAAATGTTAAATCAGACAACATACTTGATGGCAATTCAAAAAAGAAAATATGATAATATATTAATATTAGTCAGATAAACCAATAATATAATGTAGTAAATGTGTGTTTTTATCTGATTTATCAGTAACTTCTTGGGTTATTCTAAGCAATAAAGAAAGAACATTGTCCTCCAAAAAAGGCATAGCCACCTTGTGGTGTCATTTTAATTAAGGCAATGTGTATTTCTAACATAATGTGTGAAAATAGAAAACTGACTGAAATATAAATCTAACTATTCCATGAGAAAGTAGTATATAAATCCAATAAATAAATGCACTCAAGAGAGTTTAGGCTCAAGAGAATGTAATAAATACTATATCTTCATTGAAGTTTTTATAATGTTATTACTAAAAAATGTAGACTAAAAATAAAAAAGCAATTGACGAAGTTCTCAAGAGGTGTTTTACTTCCTAAGAGAAATAACTGACCAGACAGAAGCAAGCCTGCATATTGTGAAGATAATTCACACAGTTTGCTAATAAAATGCAAGAGACAGATTAAATTCTTAACCGACTATAACCAATATAAAGTTATAATAGAAACTATGAGATAGAGTCCTCTTAAAATCCATCAAATACACTAGACCAACTTCATAAAACAAAAAATTTAAATTAGAATAAAAGAACTCTGAGTTGGCTAAATAAATGATTTCTTTAAGCTTAAGAGTCAACTTTTATACATTAAAAGATTAAGAACAAATACAGAACAAAAGCAACCCAACCAAGTATACATGCAGAAAAGGAACAAAAGACAAAAGTGCTATGGTACATTGCAATCATTCACTTGAATCAGGCATGCCCATTTTCCTTCCCAATACTGTCACAGCATGGATGGGCAATGAAGTCCACTCAAACAGGAAATGTTCTTCCTCTGCACACAATATCTTCATAGCTCTATGAACTTAGAATCTGTTAAATTCAAGTGGCATTAAAATGAGATGGAATTTATTCCAATTTAATTTAAGCCATTCTAATTTTGGATTTTAAGTCAATAGACTAACCTGGACTTATACTGTTTCATGTTGAGTTTTCAGAAGCAGAGTCCAAGATGGAGATTCAGGTGCCATGATTTACTGAGGGGATGCTCTGCAGGAAGAAGCTGTAAGGGAAGAGGTGATGCAGGCTAGTGAAGGGAGAAGAATGGAGCAAGGATGTATTTTAAAGTAAATTTTAGTCTTGGCTACATGTGGGGTAAATTCTAGCCTTGGCTGGATGTAGATTGGCTATAGGAGTGAAAGGAGGGACTATGCAGGCAGAAACCACACTATAAACCACACCACACTTTGTCACCCAAGGATGTCAGTCAGTCATTGGTGTGGGCTGTATGTGTGTGTGTGGCGTGTGTGTGAAGTAGCTTCTGTCTACATTGGCCCAGTAAGGGGAGATCTGGACAGGACATAGACACAGCCTAGTATGTACATTTGAATTTTACTTTCATCAACTTTTAAGGCCTTCAGGAATACCTTGTCTGTATGCCTTGCTGGGGAGGAGGAGGAATGCAGATAGAAAGTGTGGCCTAAAAATTATACTGGTGTTTCATCCAGATTGGCAGATAGCTGTGGATTTAGGTGAAATAGGTAAAAGTCTTCATTTAGAAATCCAGTTTCATTATTCCCTGAGACTCTGAATTTTCTAGTTGCCATTTTAAGACCTCCCACTTTATGTTCTTAGTTTCTTTCCCTTGTTGCTTGGAGTGACTCAAATGCCAACCAGACCCTCTGTTCTGCTGTCAGCGGGCTACAAGACTTGGCAAATTGGCTTGAAAGAAATGGATCAAACACCTCAGCACAGTTTCCCCAGGCCATGTGATGAGAACAGGAGAGCCCTGGAGACAGCCCTTTAGGCCTGTTGGAATTTGAAAATGTTGTTTATTCAAACTGCTAAATGTTTACTTTCATCAGTATATACTCCCTCCTCAATTCTTGATCTTTCTTCTGCTCCAAAGCATTTGAGTCCAAGATGGCTGGGAGAATGGATGTCTGAGTCACTCTTCCTTCTAGGGCAAATACTGCACACAGCACAGAACTGAGAATCATTTATTCCCTAATAAAGATTCATTGTGAGCCCATGAGAGCCAGGTGCTCTTCAAGGTGCTGGGCATGTGGTAATAAACCAAACTGGCAAAGTCCCCGTCCTCATGGCATTCACATGCTAGTGGATGGAAAACCCTTAAGCAAATATAATAATATATCAGCAGGAGAGGTACAGTATGGATAAAAATAAAACAGGATGAAGAGTTAAGGAATATTGGGTGGTTGCTATTTTATTCAGACTTGTGAGGAAGAAGGGGCTATCTGATACAGGAACAGTTGAGCAGTGACCAACAGAGCCATGGGGTTGGTGGGGAGAAGAGAGTTCCAAGTATCAGGCACAGCACTCAAAAGTGTGGAGAGGCATCCTACTGAGAGAACAATGTGTAGAGAGCATCCTGCTCAGGGAATAACAGGGCTTCCAGGATGGGATGGGGGCTGGGGCTATGCCCAGGAGCTCACCTAGCCACAAAGTCTTTTCATTGCTAATGTTATATTGGTTTTTATTTTTATGTCATCAATGCCGTTTTTACAATAAAGACTTTGAAGCATACAACTGACTTTATTCAAAGTTTGGTTCCTACAGGAATTGTAATTCTACTGAAATGTAGGTATAGATAGAATTGGAAATACACACACACATGTATATGTAAATTGCCTTCCTTTTTTTGTAGAAAAACCAGGCCCTGGAATAGCCTCTGATAAGAAAAAGCCATGGAAATTTTACTTTGGTAAAAAGGCCAATAATAGAATCAAAAGCTGGCCTCATGTTGTTTCTGAGAAAGCCGGCCTTACTCAAGGAAGGCATAACAGTCTTTGAAATTTGGGTGATATTAGAGAGGAAAGGAAATGCTGGCAAGGGAAGGGGATTGGACTGGACTCAGGGGCTCCCCACAGTTCAAGGTGCTTCTCTCACACGTGTCCTTATATTGCCAGGGGGAGCTGGTTTCTTACCATCTTTTCATTCTTTAGCAGTGTTGAAGTTCCATTTTCTCACTATTTTTGACTACTCGACTCTTTTCCTGTCCTGTTTCTTTCTTGTTGTTTCAGGGCTCTCTCTCTTGCTTTGTCTCTCTTACTTTCTCCTTTTCCCTCCCCGGGTCTGGAAAGGTCGCTGTTTATTTTTCTAATTTCAGTGAAAGGAAACCAAAAGACTCACCCATATGTTTATCTAAGAAGTTCCAATTTCCTGGTGTCTTTTGTTGTCCGTTTGGTTTCCTTTTTATGTCAATATATAGCAGTCATAAAGTAGGTTTAGATGTTTTTATTTTTTTTAGTTCAAATACATCTGGAATATAAAGTGGCACAGATATGGTGATGGAAGAGACCCAAGAAATGTTAATGTTAAGGCATTTAAAAAGGATTTAATTCTACTTGAAAGCTGACTTCCTGGGTGCTGTGCTGCAAGGGAGTCTTAATCCCTGGCTCCATGGTTTATGTGGGTTGGCATGCTAAGCATTTAATCAGTTAGTCACCACTCTGCTAAGGGCCTGTTGTGGCCCAGGCATTATTGTCGGCCTGTCACCTCCCTGGACATGCCTCTTGGAATGGAGATGAATTGGATGCATGAAAAGTATAAAAAGGCTGGGGAAGTCTGAAGCAGCTGCATGTTCAAAGATTAAGGCACTTCATATGCAGTTTGACTTTGAAAAGGGGAAAGCACGGGAGTGAGGAGGCTGGCAGCAGACAGCTGGCTTGTGTTTTGGAAACCTATTAGGTCTGTGACTGATAATTTCATTTCACACGTCTTTAGTTTTATGTTGCTTTTTAACCACGGCTGGAAACTTCACTAAAAACTTTTATCCTATTATCAGAATGATCAACCCCCTTGCTGAATGAATGAGTGCAATGCAAGGTATAGGAACAGGCCTATAAACAACCGAGAAAATAAATCCCATCTTAATTGTTTGTGCTTTACAATTTTTCATCTAGGTCAGCCATTTTGATATGGAAGGCCTGGTGTGTATCAGCGTCTTAAAGGCTTCTATTTAAATGGAATCTATTCTTGTAGAAATTCTTGTTTGTGGCTATATCTGTCTTGCACCCCTGTGTTGGTTTCCTAGGGCTGCTAGGACAAAGTACCAAAAACTTGGTGACTTAGAACAACAGAAATGGATTCTCTCACCATTCTGGAGCCAGAAGTCTGGAATCAAGGTGTTATACAGAGCTGTGCTCTCTCTGAAAGCTCTGTAAGGGCGTTCTTCCTTCCTTCTCCTGCTCTTCATAGTTGCTCACCATCCTTGGCATTCCTGGCTCGCCCTAATCCAGTCTAACCTCATCTTAATTTAATTAATTAAATCTGCAAAGACCCTATTTCCAAATAAGGTTGCATTGTGAGGTTCAGATAGATATTAATTTTGGAGAGACACTACTCAACCCAGTAACCCCCATCTCACTAGATTAAAAGCCTTTATGAAAAGACAGGACTGTATTTTATTTGTTTATGTATATCTACAGTGGCACTTGGAACTCAGTAGTTGCTTAATAAATGGTTGTTAAATAAAATGATGGTTGTACTTGGAACATTCAAATGTACTATAAAGAAAAAATAACCAGAAATTTAAATGGTACCCAAGAACATTTCTATATATATAATACACACATACACACATATATATGTATATTTTTATATATGATTTTCTAAAGAAGTTAGGCACCATGGAATATTGTTACTATTTGTGTTTTCAAGATGGAAAATAGTTTAAGCCTAAAGGAAATGACTAAGTAGATCCTTTTCCTTTCTCCCACTCTTAACATTTCCTGTAACAGGATATTTAACATAAGGGTATAGAAAGTATAAATACATACTCAATTAAATATTTAAAGAGTATCATCACAATGTTCTTGATGAAATCATTTCTTATGCAATGAAAATTGGCAACTTGGAGTTTAACCTGCTTTAATCTGTTCTGAGAATTTTCTCCTCTGAAAGTCACAACCCTAAGAATGGAGGGTAGCAAAAAATTCCTTTAGTAAGATATCTATGCCTAAAGACTCAATCATGGGTACAGAGGTGGGGATATTTCCCCAAGAGGGCCTACCCAGGAAGAGATGGGGAAGCCATGCATCGGGAGTGGTCCTGATCACTTTTCTAACATTAGTCTGCTGCCACAGAAACAATGATGGTGACACAAATTTATCATTATGACTTCACAATAGAGAGTGGAACCTTAATTTCTTTACACAGTAGGTGGACAAGATCTGCTGTGAAGGGAAAAGAAAAAGTCTTGTTTGAGTCCAAAGCCAGCAATTTTACAAAAGTGAAGAGAAAATAACTCCCGATGGAAGAAAAATGGGATTTTCTGCAGTAGGTTTTCACCTATCCTTTAAAGCAGGACATCTTAATCTTTGAAATATGTCTTCAACAATACACTTGATTTGTAACAAAGAAAAATACATAGAGAATGAAGCTAATGCATATAAAAACAAGTATAGAATTAGCTTATGTTTTGTCAAGTTTACTTACCTAATTTAACCTAATTTGTACCTAGTAAGGTTAAAAATCTAATGAGAAGTCTCTGCAGAAGGATGTAGTTCAATTGGGTTGTCAGATTTGTTCTTCTCATCACAGCTTACATTGAATAGAGTGAAAGCATGAACAGTAATTGTTTTGTTAAACTGAAACATGAGTGGCACAATACATTTGTATTTGTATAACTTTTGTTAAACTTTCTATTTTAGAGCAGTTTTGGATTTGCAGAAAAATTATGAAGTAATACAGAATTCCCATGGACTTCACACTCAGTTTCCCCTATTAATAACACCTTAAGTTATTATGGTACATTTGCTAAAGTTAACGGACCAATATTGATTCATTATTATTAACTAAAGTCCATACTTTATTCATATCTCCTTAGTTTTTATCCAATATTCTTTTTCTGTTCCAAGATTGTATCTAGGATACCACATTACGTTTTAGTTGTAATGTCTCCCGAGTCTCCTCTTGGCTGTGACAGTTTTCTCAGACTTGACTTGTTTTTGATGACCTTGACAGTTTCCAGGAATACTAGTTGGGTATATTGTAAGATGCCACTCTATTGGAATTTGATATTTTCTCATGATTTGACTGGGTTAATGGGTTCTTGGGAGGGAGACCACAGAAGTAAGATGCCATTCTCATCACATCATATCAGGAGCACCTGCTATCCACATGTCTTAACGCTTGTTGAGGTTAACCTTGATCACCTGGTGAGGGAGTGTTTGTCAGATTTCTCCCCTGTAAAGTTACTCTCTAACCCCCTTTCCATGTTGTACTCTTTGGAAGTGAGTTACTCTGTGCAGTCCACACTTAAAGAGTCCTGGGAGGCAGGGGTTCTGTGCCATGTCCTTGAGGGTAGAGTATCCTACACACATTATTTGGAATTTTTCTGCACGAGAAAATTGTCTCTTCTCCTTTGTATACTGATTTATTCAATCATTTATTTATGTTAGTGTGGACTTGTTGATTACAATCCCATATTACTTTATGAATTTTGTTGCTTAAATTGTTCCACCTTTGGCCACTTGGAACTCTTTCAGTTGGTTCCTGTGTCCTGAGTATAGTTTTTAGGTAGGACACGTCGAGTTTTAATAGTCCATGGCATTACTTTCCCTTTTCATACAATAACTAGATAAAATAATTTTGAAGAAGAGGACAGATTATTTAGCCATGGTAGCAATAGGTAGCTAGACCAGTTAGTAATATCCATTTTCTATCTTTCTTTTCATTTTTATCTTAGCATTTTGTTAATTTATAATCAAGACAAATAGACATGTTTTGCAATTTATGTTAATATATGTTTGCCAATTATTTCATGCTCTAAGTAGTTTTTAACCTCTTGGGTGTTGGGAAAAAAGCTGGGGATGTTGGTGGTGAAGGAACCACTTCCCCCCGCAAGTCCCTCCAGTCTTCCACTGACGTTTTGCTTTTGCTTGAAGATATTGTGCTTAAAATAGGATCTCTTCCAAGAGAAAGGGGATGCGTGTCCCCCTTTATCCCTCTCACCTGGTTTCTTACCATTCCTCCCCTTTTGTCTTTTGCACAGGGATGGGGAAACACTCTGTTAGGGCAAAGATTGTGTCCCATTCCCCGCCACCACCCGTTTCCAGCTACCCCTCAGCCTGTGGCTGAAAGCACTTTCCTATCTGACCACACCTGAAGGAAAGGTCCAGATTTTTTGTGTGACTTTTTCCTTCTCTCAGGGACAATCAAACTGGAAACAGTCTGATAGTTTGGAGCAGAGTGTTCTTATGGTTTATAGAGAAATTTGTGTCATGATTTTTTTATTGTTTTGGTAAAGAAGATTGGCCCGAGCTAACATCTGTTGCCAATCTTTGTCTTTTTGCCTGAGGAAGATTGTCCCTGTGTTAACAGCTGTGCCAATCCTCCTTCACTTTATATGTGAGACACTGCCACAGCAAGACTTGACGAACGATATGTAGGTCCACACCCAGAATCTGAACCTGCAAACCCTGGACTGCCAAAGTGGAGCATGTACACTTAACCATTATGCCACTGGCTGGCCCTAACTTTCATGATTTTTAGAACAGTTGCTACTATGTCTTATTTGGTATTCAAATTTCAGTTTAGAATGTAAATACTGCCCAAAGACACCAAATGCAGCATAATAAAAGGAAGTGAGAGATAAGAGGAGGAGTTCTTCAATTTGTGGTTTTGTAGAATATAGGACACCAATATATTGTAAATCGTTGATTTAATATTCATTTATTTTGTTTTTGGCACTATGATCTTTTAAAAAGGAAACTTTTTATTAGCTCAGATCAATAATCTGTGTCGCTAGAAAGCTTTGCTAACTCCTTTTATGTATTACTGTTTATTTCTTTATCTTTTTATTGCCAGTGAAAAGACATAGAGCAAAGCTCAACTGAATAACACAAAATAGCCTTACATCGCTTAGTAACACAGGGGTGAAGACATGAAGATATGAAGAAATTGATATTAGAGAAACACTGTGTTATGCTTATTTACTGCATTGACCCTACTGACACCTACAAGTGAGCTCTGGGCTCTGTTCACCCAGAGATTTTTTTTGCTCCATGTGACAATTTGTCTGGAGAGCTTTTTCCTAAAAGACTCATTGGCATTTCTTTATCTTTTATCAAATGAATGGTGAGCACAGCAGGTTGCTAAAAGAATATTCAGAAAAATATGTTAATTTCCATTCTGAAATGACATAACGTTTATGGAAGGTTTATAAGGTTGCAAGGTAGTGTTATTTTTACTTATTATTGGCTTGGGATATGAATAGTGCATGTGTAAGTCTCCTTGCTGGGTTTAAGAAGGGCTTATGTAGCACTAGAGTGGAGTGGAAGAAAATCCTCTACAGTGAGACTGTTTTTAAATTTCACTTTCAACATTTTTAGGAGTTAGAGCACATACAAATGAACGGAAGCTGAGGCAGGGCATATAGCGTTAAATACCTGGATGTGCCTCATGTAACAGATATTGATTTGATGTTGATCATGGTAAAGCTTTTTATTTTTTTGCTTCTAAAGGATAGACGAAAATCCATCTGTGACTGTTGAGATGTTCTGGAAGGGTGTTCTTCTAACAATTATAAAGGATTGTCATGCTTTTACATATACAACCTGTCAAATCCATAGAGCTGAAGAAGTTGGGACAAGTCTATGGATTCTAGAAATCTTTATTACTCAAAAACATTTCACTAAAATCGGATGTTTTGATGTCATTTTTACCTTATTTTATTATAAATAAGTATAAGGCACCGATGAGTTAATATGTTTTTCCTCTATGGTACCCTGGTTATTGTTTAGATCCTTTAAGCATCTGTGTTGTTTGCTTCTCAAAATGCACAACATGTGCTCCCCTCTATTATCACACATTAGGCAAGAAGACCACCATGTTCACAAGGATCAGACTGAACATAATTTAGTAGAATTAATAAAACATCTATATTTATTAAAAATGCAAAATATTATTTTCTAACTTTAAAAGAGGGAGAACAAAGCAAAACCAAGAAATTTGGTGATGAAACAGCTGCCATGTCATATAGAGCCAGAAGCAAGTGTAATATCTCCTCTACTTGACAACTACAGCTATGAGGGGAGCATTGTTTCTGCAACAATGTAGGGGAGGCACAATCCTGAAATCCCAAACCCTTTACCCAGTGTCAAGGCTGAAATACCACAGGTGTGTGGCCATGTGCATGCTGTTAGGTATATCATTTCCTGAAGAGCCTGCTGTTGCTAGAAGGCAGAGTTCAGCACAGAAGTCTGTAATAACTATTAGAGGTTTAACTTTTTATCAAGAAGCTCTGTCTCTCATCATATTTAAGTTATTTGAGAGCAGGGAGTGGGTAATTTTCATCTTCATACCCTCATAGAATTCCCATGGTGAATTACACTTAGTAGGTTCTCATGTTTTTTGGTGTGAAATTGAATTGTTGACTTTGGATTTAGGGGGACTTGGGAAATCATAACTGATAGTTGAGTACATATTTATTCCATTATTTAATTATTCATTGGATAATATTTTGAGGCCCGCTATGTGCCAGCACTGTGTTTTTCTTTGGGGTTGTATTGGTAAACAATGTAGATCTAAGCCCTCATCCCATGGAGTGGGAGTGTGAGAGTGAGATGAAAAAAATATTCAAAAATATCACTAACCAGATGGTCTGAGGAATTAATATATAAATTTGAAGTATAAGTAAATTTTTAAAAATATTTTTTTCTAACTTAACTGACACATATCATAAGACAGCTTACCAAGTGTTATAAGTTTTAATTTAAATTGTTTATCAAATAGTTCCAATAATTTCCAAACCATTGGTTGGTTTTTAAAGAGCGTCAATGTGATATTTTGTTTGAGGGCTTGTCAGTATCTCTGATGCTCCTTTCTGAATCACGATATAGTTAATCACATCACTTTTCCAATGACCTCCTCCTTCGGTCTCCCCTAGTCAGCACTTCCATGAAGTTCTAGGGCAGCCAGCACGATGTCCTTGCGTCAGGGCAGGATACATACCGGGATGTCAGTGATTCCCTTTTGGCCTGGACCCAGGGAGACTGTGGCTTGGCTCTCTGTCAACGACACCTCCACCAATGCTGTCTGCCCTGCCATCCAAACCCCGACCCTGCCCCACCCCGCACCCTGCCTGTGCTACTCTGAGTCAGTCACAGCCGCTCCCCATGACTCCACTGGCATGGTCACCGCTTAGTATGCTAGGCAGATATGTGGGTGAAAGTAGGGGGCACATCACCAACACTGCACCCAGCCCCATTCCCAGCCTCTACTGTCACTGCTCCCCGGCAGTATCCTTAGCTGACTCCTGATAAGGCAATAACTATAGAATTCAACATTGGATTCAAAGTAGACTAGTTTGAAATCTGAAACTAAAAAGTTTAAAATTCCTTGTTTCCTCTTCAATAACCAATCTGAATATTTGATTGTTACTTTTTGAAATCTATATTCTAATATTAACAAATCCACGAATATTAAAGATAGCAATATTAGCTGCTTAGGCATTGTTGTTTCATATTAAAAGATACAGATGATTTTTATTCTGAAGTTATTTGGCTTTTCAAAATCTTCACTATTTTAAATAGTGAGTTGTATAAATAAATATTCTGACTACACTAAAAAATAAAGCATCCTGGAAAAAAATTTTGTATGTGGCCATTTCTGTTGGTGTTCTGATCATTACTTAGTTGAATAGACATAGAGAATGATAGGGATACATGTTTGCATTGTCAAAGGCTGTTTCCAAGTAAAAAACTCTCTAAGTTCTAGCTTTTCCAGTGTAACTACCCTCTAATGTATTCAGTTTATGTTCTTCTTAATTACTAATGCATATTATTCATCTAAAGTAGAGTAGTCTTTTTGCACTGAAAAAAGACTGGTA